CTCTCAGGACAGAAAGAGAGCACAGAGGTACGTGGCAGGTGTACTATCACGTGAGTGACAGAAACAGACCATCGGAGATTACAGAGTACATGGAGAAGGAAAATAACCACTAACTGCTCCTTGGAGAAATGATAAATGGAAAATGTAGACAGGTGCCTACTAATAACTCACAATTGCTTCCCAGCTCAGGGGAATGAAGATGGGTTTGGAAAACTTATCTAATCATTTTCTAAACATTTTCAGATCATCTGGTACCAAAAGGTGTTTAGACTTTTCTCAAGAGCCAAGAAAATTCTTCCCTTAGAGAATATATAGCATAAGAAATTCTCCAGCTCTTTCAATCAAATAAAGTTATCAGTTGGAATAAAACTCTCTTAGTATGTCTTGGGCTATAGTAGAGGGCATCGTATTATATTTATTAATAAGGCACAAATGAATGCTACAAAGTTCCAACAGAAAATTAATTTTTATAAATATACAAAGTAGAGTTGGCAGATTTAGCAAATAAAAATACAAGAGCCCCATGAAATCTGAATTTCAGATAAATAACAAATATTCGTTTGGTATAAGTATGTCCCACGCAATATTTAGGACTGACTTGTGCTAACAAAATTATTCATTGTTTATCTGAAATTCAAATTTAACTGGGCTTAAGTATTTTTCTTGCAACCCTGGCAAAATGCCTCCTCCAGGCAACCCAGAAGCTATCTGGAGATAATCACTAAGTCTATAACAGGCCAAGCTTCAAGGAGTTAAGAAGTTATCAGTGAGGAATTTGGATTCACACCTGATAAATAATGTCATTTGATAGTGGATTGAAATAAGGATCCTCTCTGAGAAGGATTTTGTGCCATAAAAATATATTCTTCCTTTGGTAACTAACAAGTGAATCACTTCAAATGCGTGTGTCTCTTTGGGATTCAGCTATATCATATAACCTCTTCTCTCCATCCCCTAAGTGTAGACTTAAGAACTTCCCCCACATGTAAAGAAAGCTGCAGTCTGGACAGGTGTGAATGACAGCTGTACCTCCCACTACAATGCTTCTAGCAGGGAAAGGGGCCTATGAATGCTACTACCTTTTCAGGTGACAGGAGAAGCCACTTTCCTAACTCTACATCCCTAGTGTCATCCTGGGGCTGGACCACTCCCAGAAATCTCCCAGAGAGCCTTCCTCCCTACTGTGGTTGCTGAGAGGAGAACAGCAGGCTGAAGGAAAAGTCATCCTTATAAAACAACCAGCCATTTGCAGCAATTTTATTTGCAAAGATTTCCTGCTGTGCCTAAATGGTGTGGCTGCTTGGTTTGTTATTTAAAAGAGTGACCCTAGTGAGACCAGAGCTCTGAAGGGGGTGGAGAGTCTGATTCAGACCAGGGTAAGTAGGAGGAGCTTGAACTGAATGTGCGTAATTGAATTCCACTGCTGCTTTTGAGCGTGCTGTGCCTGGTGATAAAACTGCAGACTTGGGGCTAACTCTATAAACCCGTTAGTCAACCCCAATCCTTTCTGGGTCCTGCTAGGAAACTATATTAAAATATTCTCAAGACAGGGCAGGGATGGAGAGTCAAAAACCAGAAGATATATTTGGATGGAGAGGAAGGAAAAGAAAGACAATAGAGATAAGGGAAGAATGCAGGTATATGGACAGGGGAGACATCCAAGAGATGTCCAAATGTCCAGATGCAGAACCCAAGTAAAGGCAGGGAACTGGGGCAGTTTGCAGAGGAATTGCTTTAGTGGAGAAGTAGGTAGGTAAATCTGAAGACACTTATTAAGCAGTACATTTGGGAAATCAAGTGAAGCTGGACTCCCTCTCTTTCTCAATCTCTCTGCTCTACACTGGTGCCTGAAGAACTGAGGAATAATAATCCTTGTTCCCTGTAGGACGGCTACACTGGAGAAGATGGATGTGGGCCTCTAGGACTGAGTAGGGCCCCCTTCCTGGGTGGCCACATGGGAGCATCTCAGGCCTCAGAGTGATGGCAACAAAGGTTAAAACCAATTGCGATTTCAGAGATATGTGGTTAGAGAGCAGGCTTCAGAGATGACATTTACACTGTAATGTAACATAAGCCAAGCAGGAAATAATAATATCTGCAGATCATTGTTTACCCAGCAGAAGTTTTAAGTTAAAAGCAGGCATTTCTGGGCCATATTTATGAGCTTGAAGGTAACATTCACTTGATTTCTTCGTGTTGTTGGGCAGATGTTTTAGTCTCAGTAGTCCTTCATTGTTAGCTTTGATTTTAATTAGCAAACGTTTGGGAAAATAATCTGAATCAGATTTGAATTTAACACTAAAAGCAGTGGGAGGAAAACCAAAGCTACAGAACTGAATCAACAGTACATTTTTCAAGGGAATCTTTATTATCTTGCAGGAACAGAGCAGAACGGGAAGGCTCCTGCAGAGCAGGTGTGCACTGAGACTTGGAGGGCGTCATTCACTTCCCTGTGCCATGCACTGTGCAGGAAATGGGGTCAGAGAAATGAGTGCTATGGGAAGGTCACTACTCTCACAGAGCTCACAGGGAAGGGAGATAATAAAACATGCAATTGCCAGTTTGAAGAGTGGCTTTATCGGAAAAATACAAGATGCAGTGAAGGCATATAATGTAGTGCTGTTAGTCCAAGGCTCAGGGAAGACTTCCCAGCAGAAGTAATGCAAAGACTGAAGCCTGAGGAATCTGAGGAATGAAGAGCATAAGGCAGGTAAAGGAACATCAGCACCTGTGTTTGGTGGGAAGGGGCATGCTGGAGAGTAAGTTTGAGGCAGAGAGAGGAAAGAGCTGAAAGCAAGAGAGAGCATGGTGTTTTCGAAGAACTAAACTAAGTTCAGTGTTGCAGGAAGGTAGTATGCAAGGCAGAGAAGAGCATGAGAGAATTTTGGAAAGACTGGCAGGGCCCATGAGGCTGAAGGCTTTATAAACCATATTCAAGAGAATGGACCTCATTATAGGAGCAATGAAAAGTCCCTGAAAGGTATTAAGGAAGAGAATGACAAAATCACATTTTTAGTTTTGATCACCCTGGCTGCAATATAGATTGAAAATCAGCAGAACTGGGAGGAGAAAGATCATGTAAGAAGCCCTGCAGTAATGCACGTTAGAAAAAATGGACTGGGATGTTGTAGGAGAGATGAAAACAAGAACGGCATTCCGGAGGTGTGGGGGGACTAAAATCCAGGGCAAACAGTATGATTGACTATGAGGTGTCAGGGATATGGAACCAAGGGCATCTTGGAAATTTTTATTTTAGGTAACTTTGTAATAGGATATATCATTTACAGGCAGTGCAGATTTGGCTAGGAGAGGATGGGAGACTAGTAGGAGAAGAGTCAGAAGTTCAGCTTTGGATACTGTGAGTTCTAAGTGGCCATGGAATCCAAAGAAACATATCTGGCCACAGCTAAGGATACAAATTTAGAGCTCAAGGGAGAGGTTCCAGCCAGAGATGTCACTTTGGAAAATATACAGACATTAATTGTATCCTTGGGAATGGATGAGAAAGAAAGAGGGTCTAGGACAGAACCCCAAGAAGTGCCCATATTTAAGGGATGCATAAAACAGGAGTGTGCTAAGGAGCCCCAGATGGAACTGGAATAGAACAAAACTAAAGAGGTAGAAGAAAAACCAAGACAATCTGTACCAAGCAAGGTGCAATACCCAGGGACGATGGATAGAGCAACATCTGGAGAGTTCATGATGGAAGAATATCAGGATTGAGTCACAGATATAACTACTGTGAACCTGGTTTGAGTTTCAACTCTGAATTGAAGCTCTACTCTACAGACTGCAGTCCAGCTCCCTTCTAGAAGTTACCCATGCAACCTCCACTATATGTTTTTCTAACATCCCAAGTATACCTTTTAATATTTTATTTATTAAGCTAGATGGTGAGTACCTGAGTATGCACTAAGTTTTTCTGAATACCTTTCTGTACGTCTTAATACAATTAAAAATAACTTCAAATGGATGTCCAAAACATTGTTGAATGAAAGAAGTCAAGCTATTGAACAGCAAGTATACTTATATTTCCATATATGTAACATTGTAGATTTATACCCATATAAATGTACACGCACAGAGAGATATCTAGAAAGATGTTCACTAATTATTTCTACAATGATTATCTCCAATTAATTGGATTTAAGGTCATTTTTATTTTTAAAATACACTTCTTTATGTTCTATTTAGTTTGAATTTTTGTAATGCACATACATAGAAGTTTTATACAAATAGTAAAACCACAAAAGTGTAGTATAGAATCTTCTACCCCATATAGTCATTTATTACCCTACGGAGGAAGCACTGCAGTCATGGCTGGGTTATGCAAGGTGAGGTCTTGCTAAACAAACCAGACTAAGAACAACCATAAAAGCCGCCTCTACAGCAGCATCCTCACCCTTAAAGGCAGAGGCTGGAAAAGCAAAAGAGACAAAAACCAAGCCTGTTTCTTTAAGGGAAGAATATCCTTCATATGACTACAGATCCACACAACCTGTTCTTCAATCTTTCTACAATACGGCAACATTCGAAAGGTAAGTGGACTGGTCCTCCCTTATTTGTAAGTTTCCTGCATCTTTCCTGGTGATCAAGTAGTACTTACAGATCAGAGAGGCCTAGGTTCAACTCCAAACTGACCACTCACTGGCAACATGACTTTGTATAATTTATGCCTCCAAGCCTATTCTCTTGTATTGTAAAATAGAAACAATTGTTAAAACCTGACTTACAGAGTTATTTTGAGGATCAAATGAAGCCAAACGTGCAAAACCCTTAGAGTAACACCTAACACATAATAAGTGCTCAATAAGTGAAAGTTGTTTTGGCAAGGTGGGATCCAAAACACTCCCCCAATCATGACCAATTGCCATGCCCAGGGCCAGGCTTCAACCTGCTACCATCTTGAACTGTTCTTCCTGCAGTTTCTGAACTTCCAACCCGTCTTTGAAGCTCCCCTCTCATCTCCACCATCAACGCGCCCTCTGTTCCACACTCACCTATTTAGCATATTGGACTGGTAGATTCTCTTCTCATGGGTATTGTAACAACTGCTTTTGGGCTCAGGGATGAAGCTGTGTTCGGACAGCATGTCAGAAGCAGCAGTGGTGATTATGGCAATTCCATCTCTCACTCTGGCGGGGAGGCCGTAGTCCCATTCATCATATGATACAGAGATGAGCCCAGTGGGGAACTCCGCAGGCACTGTGTCTGTATCCCCTGCCACCAGACTGGGCACGATCCACGTGTAGCCGTAGCCAGTCAGCCCTACTGAGTTGGCCACTTCAAAGATGTAGGTGGCTTCTTCCTTGGTACAGTAAAGAAGAATGATGGGGCTTTGAAGTTTCTTGAGCTGATTCTGGATCTTAGAATCTCCATCGTCCAGGGACATGTCCAGTAGGAGGACTTCCTCTAGCTCCCAGCCCACAAAGCTATTCTCAATGGTGCTGCGGATCTTGTTTACAAAGTCCTGGTAGCCAGGGAAATAGGTGGTGACGATAGAAAAGATGTACCAGTCATATTCTTCCATGATGTTGAGCATTACGGAAGCTTGCTGTTCAATTGATGGGCCAAACTGGAAGAACATGGAGGATTCATCCTAGAAAAAGAACAGGACAAGAAAAGGAAGAGAGAAAAAAATCAAACCAAAGATGGTAATGGAGATTTTGAACCAAGTGGGTACAAAGATTTGTGTTCATTACTTATTATTTATATAATGCCTTTACAAGTTTGTATTTATAATAAATATTTTAAAATATTTAAATTACAGACATTTATAATACCTTTCTTCCAAAAATTGTCTCCTAGACTTTACAGAAAATCAACCTAGGTCTATACTTGCCTGGTCTGAAATCCTTGGGGTTACTGCCAGAGCCTAGGGAAGCTTCCCAAAATCAAACATGTTAATATTTCTATAGCAAAACATATGAAGAATCACACAGTGTAGAATAAAGGCTCTAAATGGCTTCATGTCAGTTCAGGTCAGGTTTTGTTGTCAAATGAGCTATACAAACACAAATACAGATGCTCATACAGACATACACATACATACTTTCCATTTTTCAAGGCTTTTGGATTTCTTCCTTGTGAATGTGTATCACTCAGTCACAGAGTGCATAATCCAAAAATGTCATTGATCTACACATAAACCTATCTATGGAGGTGAGATAAGCTCAGTGGTCCAGAAGGTGAATGGTACTCAGGTACAGACATCAGGGAGAAGTATATGTAGTATGAAATTGGATCAGTATATATTCTAGAAACATATAAATGTTAAATTAATATCGCATTTATTTTTCTCTCTAACTTCTGCTCTGATGATAATATATGCAGAAAAGAATAAGGCTCAAACAGTATGTCTAAGCTGCAAGTTAAAATTATTGCCATTTGAACTCATATCTGATTAAGCTTTACTTCAGACATATAGAAGACATGCTCTTTCTCTGACCTACAGGACACCACAGATCTTGGTTTGACCTGGGCATTGCACACACACTCCACTGTCAATTCTGAGCATCTTCTGATTTCTCCTTCCTTTCCAGGGAGAAGCCATTTTAAATGTCTCCCATTTTAAGCTGTGTTTCACCTGCTGTTGTGAGATGTCAAGCTGAATCCGAAACCACAAAATGAACACCCTCTCAGTCTTGCCCTCCTCTCTTGACTATTTCCCCTGATTTCCTCCTGGGTAATGGCATCTCTTTCTTTGCTCGGTGCCCCCTATCTTCTATCCCATGGCTCATCTCCATTTTATAGCAATCCAGGCTAACAAAACTGTGTCTTTTTCTATGGGGCAGTTCCTTCTCATCCCCCAATGAGAGCTTCAAAGTACAGTTACAAGTGACCTGGGCTTTTAAACAAAATTATATAGTGGTTTCTTAGTTCAGGAACATATTGTTGCGCAGCTGAGAAATTGCCAAGCATTTCTTCGGCACCCCTTATTGAAAAAAATACAGACTGGGAAATATCCAGCTGGTATCCAAAAATCCTGATTCGGCAGTGAGAGCTGCCAGCCCCCGGCTCTGCCTGGGCCGTTTGTTCTCGCAGCTTGAGCTTTTCGCGTTTTACACAGGATACCCAGAATGAAACCCTGGATGCTTGGTCATATAGAAGTAATTTTTCCTGCTAAGGGTGAAATGGTGCTCACCAGCACTCTCTTCTCTGAACTTAAAGATGCAGTTGAAGGGGAGCTTCATAGGATCATGTAATTGAGAAAAGCAGGGAGGGTAAGAAGGGTGAGTAGAAAAAAGGGAATGAATTTAAAATAGAATAATTATATCATGTGTATCTATTCCAAACCCTGGCCAGTCCCTGTTCCGAGACTTCTCCTAATACATGAGTACAACTCTTAGGCAAAGCTGATCTTGTTGATAGGTTATATAACACAGTGGGACTTTGGTCAGAATGTTTGTGTCCTCCCCAAATTCATATGTTGAAATCCTAACTCCCAAGGTGATGGTATCTGATGGTATCAAGAGATGAGTGAGGCCCTCATAAATGAAATTAGTGCCCTTATTAAAGAAGCCCCAGAGAGCTGCCTTGCTCCTTCCACCCCGTGAGGACAGAGCAAGAAGGTGCTGTCTATGAGTCAGGGCATGAGCCCTCCCCAGGCACCAAATCTACTGGCACCTTGATCTCAAACTTCCCAGACTCCAGAACTGCGAGAAATAAATCTCTGTTCTTTCTTTTTTTTTTTTTTTTTTTTTTTTGGAGTCTTGCTCTGTCACCCAGGCTGGAGTATAGTGGCGCAATCTCGGCTCACTGCAACCTCCACCTCCCAGGTTCTAGCAATTCTCTGCCTCAGCCTCCCGAGTAGCTGGGATTACAGGCGCCCCCCACCATGCCAGGCTAATTTTTGTATTTTTAGTAGACACAGGGTTTCACCACCTTGGCCAGGCTGGTCTTGAACTTCTAACGTCGTGATCCACCCGCCTCGGCCTCCCAAAGTGCTGGAATTACAGGTGTGAGCCACCGCGCCCACCCAAATATCTATTCTTTATAAGCTACTCAGTTTATAATTAGCCCGAAAGGACTGAGACAAGTGGGAATCTGGGACAATACAATTTTATTCCAAGAATTGTCAGTGGCCTACAGAGGACGACGACAGGAAAGGAAGACCAGCGGCAGGGGACACCCCTAGAATAGCTGTCACTTTAAAGAGACACCCGTTTGTTTTTCCTGTCATGCTTCCAGTTAAAGAAAAACTGGGGGATTCCCAAATAAGAAATATTAATACATGAGCTTCCACAAGCCCAGTGGTTATAGCAAAGTGAAGAAATGTTCCAATCTGCTTCAAGATGTACAAGCTTGGGATGAAATGCATCCCAGCGGCAAACAAAGCAGGTCCACCCATTCTGTGATAAATGAACAGATATTATCACAAGAAGGCCCTTGAATAGATGCAAAGTTCATGTGCTGTGAAACCACAGCTGGCTCAAATACATAGCAAGAGATACAAAAGCCATGAGGGTCCATAGTAAATGGGCTCATGTTAATTAGATTGAATTTAAAAGAAAACCAATCTATTAAATACCGACTTGGCCCTCCCCTCTATTAGGCTTCTCTTAATACTGTCTCTCCCCCAACTGCAAATGGCTTGTAAAGACACTGCCAGCTACTGTGTGAAGGAAGCCAATGCATAATGAGAGTGAGAAATGAGAAAAATTAATATGGCTCCATCATCCCTCACTACATCCTTATTGTACCTTCTAGTTCTAGTATCCTCCACAATCTGATCTTTTTCCTGATTCCTCTGCCCCCATCAATGCCCAGCTCAACCATTTTATTTTGCCAGGCTCTTATTAAATAAGGATGCTTTACATGACCATTTACCTGGCACCCAAAGGAGGCTAATGAAGCCAAACAGAAGTCAAGAAACAGAATAATAGCTTGGGCCAATGTTTTCTGGTATAATGAGTAGTCCAGTTACTATTCATTTAGTTGACACATCAATATGGTATACAGTGATCAGGAATGGGACAGCTCTTTTTCAGTAAAACTCTAGGCTAGCTATAAGTTGCAAATGGTGACAGGCTTTGCAAATTATGGCCATAGCCACAAATCAAAGGGCAATCTTCATGTGTGCATAGAGTGGAAAGGACTGGTGGCCACACATTCATCTTTGCAGGCACCCAGCATGCGCTATGATTACCACAAGTCATCAAGGATGAAGGACAGAGATATAATTCTGTTTGCAGCTCACTATGCTTCCCCACTTATTTTATCTCCTAATGTCATTACAAAATGTTGACATGCAGGGGTCCTTGGAGCAGTCTCCTCCTAGTGAAGAATCCCAGTCGAATTTATTACCCGAACGTACTCCTTCAATTCACCTCAAGAACATCTTTAACATATTCCTCTATAAAGGGCCACCCTCACAGAGATGAATAAGCAGCACAGGGAAGGTAGAATTGTACACTAGACCCTAACAGTCTAGCACCATAATGTGGGGCCCCCATCACTTTGATGTTTGTGGTGTTTATTTGCTAATAAGAAGAAACAAAAAGAGGTGCTTTTTCATCTTATTTTCTGCCTCAGAAAATAATTGTCTAAAAAATTAGCAGTACATAAGATTCCCCTTCTGCATCATCCAGATCCCTTATCGATCCACTTCAGAAATAAAGGATTAAGTGCGCCAGTGGCTGGTAGTGCCCCTGGCAATAGGCTTCCACCCAACACCTTTGGGGACTGTCTCAGCTGAAAAAGCCCACTTCCCCAAAGCCGTGTCCCTTTCCTGGCGTAAATGGCACTGAAAACCTGGCTGTCACAGGTATAAAGACCTAGTCTTCTTGCCCTAACTCTGGACAACTCCAAAGGGTCAGTTTATCTTCAGAATTCCTCCACAGGATTTCTGGAGCTTCCATTAAAGCTGCATCACACCTATACTTCTCCTGTCCAGCCTTGTCCAATCTTCCCTTCCCGCTCATGGTGTTGATCTCAAAAGCACCCCCTAATAAAACCCCCTGCACACTAACCTCAGGCTCAGAGTCTGCTTCCCTGGGAACCTGACTCTACCCATTTCCCCCTTTTCAACACCGAAAAGAAATTGCTTCAAAGAGAACATATCTATTTTCAAATACTGAAATGACTTATTTGGTAGAAAGACAAATCTTTGCTCATTAAATTCAGAGGAGAAGAGAACTGGGAACAAAGAGTAGAAGTATTAAAAGGCATTATTGGGCTCAATATAACAAATGCATTTGCAAAAATTATAGGTTCTTAAAATGGAATGGGTCTCATAAGGTAGTGAGCTCTCGGTCACTGTTAGCATTCAAACAAGAGCTGGATTATTATCTAACAGAGGGTTGTTCCCCAGTACATGGGCTGGAAAATTTTATGATTATCCTTAAGACTCAGTTCAAATGTCAGGTCTTTTATGTATGTCATCTTTTCTAACTTGCCCTAGTCAACTCAGTTCTATCTCCCCTTTGCTTTTATCACATTTTATACATGCCTCAGTCATCATACTTACACAGTAAACATGCCTACTTGCCTTATCCGACTAAAAATGTTTCTCAGGACTACAAACTATACCTTGTTCATCTCTAGATCCCTAGCTGACACATGACACGTTTTTCTAGTGTTCATTGTATTAATGTTGTA